GTCCGTGTCCCTCGCCAGGCCGAGGCGAAAAGACGCCGCTGTCATGACTTCCGAGCAACCTTCTACCTCATTAACCTCTTCCCAGTATTGGATGGCATACTGGCGAAGGGTCTCAGATTCCTTACGTCGAAGGGTCAACAATGATCCAACGTCTTTGGGGCGCTTACTCCCCGTAATGAATCGTGCCAGGAACTGCCTCGTCAATTCTTTTCACGACCCAATACTGTTTGGGGGAAGCGCCTCGAACCACTTCATCGCAGAGTCCCCCAAGCTCATTGGAAACACTCGGCAGAGAAACCGTTGGTCCGAATGATAGAGGGACATCATCTGCTTGTATTGCCTGAGATGGGCTTCGGGATCGGACCGCCCGTCATAAGTTTTGAACCTCGGCACGATGAACTTTCTTGAAACCTCCATCTCTCCGATCTCCCTGGTGAAGGGTGTTTGTATGACCTCGTCTTCGACCTCATCCTAGATAGCCTTACTCTTTCTCTTGGATTCCAGCTGGGCTCTGAGATCAATTTCCTCCCTGACGAGATGTCTTCTGACGTCCTTGAGTTCATTAATGGGCCCCTCATTTCCTGGGCGCCGTGCGGATAGGGAAGAATCCTCCTCGGACTCATCTCCCTCCCTTCGTCTAGACAATCCTCGCCGGAGGTCGTCCAGGGCCAATGGTCTTGCCTTCCTTGAATAGTCGTTAGGAAGGTGCTCGTTGGCTCTCGGTCGCTTTGGAGCCCGGGAGCTCTCCGCCTTGTTGTTCAGATGATTCCTTAGATCCTTCGTTTCCGCCTCCCGGGCGGGGAGCCCACGAGAGAGGAATGAGTCCCTCGACCCTTCGCCGGAGGCGGTGAATTCGTTGAGCCGACTTAGGACGTTTACATTGTCCTTTTCCAGCTGTCGTAATCTATCGCCAAACTTTTTTTCGATCACCTCCGCCAGTTGACGAGCCAGGGGGGCTGACTCTCCTGACCTAATTCCCATACTGGTTTGAGGGGTAACCCCTCTGGACTGAGTGGAGGCATTTTTATTCCCGTCAGTGTGATCCCTTCCTCCGTGGTGACAGGGAGCTTGTAGTTCGAGACTTCTTTGGTGGGGACCTTTCCCTTTTTGTCGAGTGTTCACCATGGTCACTGTTCTTTATAGAGAAAAAACTAGGAAAACTAGTCGTTTCCCACAGATTGTGCATGCAGGATCTTGCACAATATAAAAAACGAGAACAGATCTCTCCCTTGGTGAACTCGAGTGAGTCAGTTGAGTGATCAACCACGCTGCTTGGGACAGCCTGTGAGGTCCGGTGATAACCTGGAACCGTAACGGGAGACCCTCGTGCATTGAAGGAATAATCCAGTAAGGCTGGGGAAAGGTTCCTAGAACAAAGGAGAACAAGTTAGAAGGGCGCCGGAGTGTTTTTCGGCTTATCCCCTCCGACGATCAAGTCAGTTTTTGAAAGGAAGAGGAAGAAGAAAGCACTGAGTATATTTCGTAGTAAAGAGTTTCTTGTTGCATACCGTTTTGCCTTTTATGAGGAGTATTTATACCTCAAAAGCTCATGATTGCTGTCAGTGTTGTCAGTAGATGATCATTAGGTACAGGCAGTGTGCGCACTGATTCTGATGAGGAATGTCTTCCTTTCTTTAACTGCTCGGGGCGCCGAGCAATCAATGATGTGTCATCGGGCTGCCGACTGTCTAATGATCTCCGCTCGGGGAGGATGCAATAAATGTCCAGCCTTAGAGACATTTATTGTCTTTCAATTCCGAGCCTTACCGCATTGAATGCGTTCTCATCAAGGGAATGGTGTAATTAAATGTTTGTTTTCCCAAGTCACCTGTCAGTAAGGGCATGCGGTCTTTCTGTCTCTGATGTGACACAATTTGCCACTCGTCCATCCCTTATTGGTTGTGGGCCCTGCCTTCCTGTTCCTTCTGACACCAATTGTGTAAGACGAGACCATGATAGCTAACCTAGACTAGCCTAGTCTAATGACCTGTACATCAATAACTTTTATTGGAGCAGAGAAAAAGGCATTTTGGACGGGGTACATCTCGGTACCGAGGACATGCACATCTCGGTACCGAGGAAAGGTACATCTCGAGCCGAGGGAAGCCGTACATGATGACCGAGGTACCATACCAGACCGAGGGATACGTGTCGGTACGTAAAACGTACTCGATACGTGTCAAGTACCTCGGGCGAGGGAGTTGTAAAACCGATGGTACGTGATCTCAGTTAACAGGATTTTTAGTGACGCCGAGGACACGTGTCTTCATCTTAGAGTATTTTCAGAAAAAGTCCCATCAGTATCAACACAAGCATTGGATACAGAAAGCAAGAAATTGAAAAGAAGAAAAGAAATCTACATATTATACATATCCATAGTTATAGATACAGACTTTATCTCTATATGAATTTCAAATAATGACAATCACTATTGAAATAACAATCACCATAGAAAAGCCTTCTTAACTTAAGCATGAAAATACCAAATCCACAAAAGTGCTAAGCTTCCAAAAAAAGTAGTACGCGACCACTTAGCCTAATTCCTATTAAAATAATTATCATTGTTCAAATCCATCTGAAATAAAAGGATAATGCGGAATGTTATGAATTGTGGGATTAATCACACCACCAATACGTTAAAGTTGCATAAAAAAGAATTTTATTCAAAACAATAGAAGTAGTTCTTGATCACTTAAGAAATGATAATACCTAAAATTTTGACTCAAAATGGCGCGCACATTAAGCTTCTTATGCACTACCGTTGTCGGAGCACCACCTTCTTTGAATGACATTCACAAGAGAGCCAGATGATTTATTTACCCTTCATAATTTATATGACATCAATATCATACAAACTAGAATTACTGACTACCAAAGATATAATAAAAATAGCAATAGGTAAAATTTATGTGAAAAATAACATCTCATCCGAGAGTGATGACAATTCCAAGTCATTGACCTTTGCTGCATCTTCTGTGTAGCATATCTACTACCGCAGTTCATCACAATCTTCTGAATTTTTGGGGAAAAAAAAAAAAAGTTGTGTGTTACAGAAGAGTTCCTTAAATAAAGCGGCAATCTTTTTGACGATTGTGGTCTTGATTTGGTTGCCTTTTTCTGCCTCACTTTTCCTCCACCAGAGCAATTCTAGTTGGTGCTTTGAAATTAGATGATCTCACGATAATAAGAGCCCAGTTACGTGTCTTTGTGTCTCTCTAGCTTCTCTAACTAGAATAATATAACGGTATAGGAAAAGATCTCTGTCGTTGGGGGTTAGAGAAAGGAAAAGGTGCACATATAATAATATGTAGCTAAACTTAATAAGGGCAATTAATCTAGCAATAATATGACTCTATACAAATATTTGAGGTAATTATGAATTTTTTTTGTTTGGATTTAGTATCCTTTTATAATAGGAAGACTAACGGTTAACAATGAAATAAGTATAAATATAAGTATTGATATTGGATAATTAAATACATAAGAATATAAGTGTCTTTAATATTTTTTATAGTGACATAATAGTCAATCAAATTTTTTTTCACTTAACTACATTTTATTAGTAATACAGATATAGATATATATTGGTACCATCAAAATTATGTCTAATTCAACAACTTAATAAAATTTGTAGACTTCAAAGCGGAGAAAGAGTATTAGAAAGGAAAAATGAATGATTATGGAAGGAAACATCAAAGTCATGAGGGAAAGATATAAACCGTTATAGAACAATAATAGACAATGAACAGTCTACATTTTTGGAAATATTGTAGTGCCCTTACTTAAATTTTTAGTTGTGAAAAAGGAATTCAAAAAATTGTCAAGATATTGATTGACATTTAAAAGTGATATTAACATAGATAAAAATAAAGAATAGTAACTCAAGAGTCGCAATCACAAATAATATAACATTAATGTTTTATTCTAACTCCAAAAAGGGTAGTCAATAGTGTGGATTTTAACTATATTATTAGGGTTAATATAGTCAAATAAAAGTTTTTCACTTTAATTGGCATTTTATAGTAGTATATATATCTATACTAATGTGAATACTATTCTTTTAGAGTTATAAAATCAATATTAATGCAATTTATAATTGTGACTGTTATGTGGACGGTTGGAGTGCTATTACTTAACTATTCACACACACATGTATGTATACATATACTTATACTACTAATAAATTCCGAATTGAATATATTTTATCAGTTGAGTTGATATGAGGAAAGTGAAAAAGGATTTTTTTTTTTCCACACAGGGGCTAATTTGGTGAAGTGGGTCTAAATTTTGGAGGTGAATTGAGTTCATTGATCAAAAATTCTCTGATAAATTGAGTTCATTTGATTCATTGGGTTCATATAGCAACAATTTTTTATAATGTTGTATTGCCAATTTAGACTAGGTTGAGCCCCCAGTTGCTAATCATAAAAAATAAAACATAATAAATAATAGGTGAACGTTGCATACATAACAAATGGAGGATTGTTTTGCGATGTGCAGGAAAAAAAAGAAAGTGAAGGATAATATAAAAAATTAATAGTTTGAGCTGAATTTAATAACTTACAAAAAAATCCTTGGACTATCCACAAAATAAAAATCACCGAATTGGATTATGGACAATTTTCACTTAAATTGTTCGGGTTAAGCATTTCTCTATTTTTTCCTTGAGAAAATTTTATTTTGTCCTTTGAAAGATATAAAAAAATTTAGTTTATCTTTCGAATGATTAATTTTTTTACACTGTGAATTCAAAGAAATAAAAAACAATGCAATATAGTCTAAAAACATTTTTATAACAACGTTTTTGGAAGCAGATTGCAAAGTTTATAGACTATATTGTAATATTTTTATTTTTTGAGGGGCAATGTGAGAAAATTAATAATTCGGGAGGGGCAAATTAATAAGTTTTGTATCTGAAGGGTAAAATGGGATTTTTCCCTTTCTCCTTATGTGCACCGACTGAATATCTGCTCAAACGTATGCAACGCACACAAACTTACCTCTCTCTTTCCCACTTCTTTCAGGTAAACCCCCCGCCGTGCAGCAGCCGCCGCCGCCGCCGCCTGCGTCGTCCTTTCTGCTCGCGGTCGAATTAAACTAGGTAATTCTCTATCATCACCATTCCCTCTCCTCACTATTCTCTCTCTTCTATCTACTTCAAAAGCCCTGAACAATTTATTCCATCTGCTCTGCAGCTGTAAGCCATTGTCGCCTAGCACTACATTTTTCTCAGCAGCCTATTACAGGTTCATTTCTTTCTCTTCTAAAATTGGGCAAAGCTTGTTTCTGATGTAATTTCTGACTCCATTAATATGTTCCTGATATTCGCTTTCTTTGTATCATACCATTACTGTTATTTCTTATCACCTTATTTTCCCTAAGAACATGTTGCTGATACAATAGTCACCGTCCGTTCATTGCATTGTTTTATCTCCTTTTCCCCAATATCATATTGCTGATACAATGGTTACCATCTGTTTAATGCATTGTTTAATCTCATTTTCTATTATGTGTATATTTCTAGAGTAGAGAATGAATGATTAGACTGGAAGAGAACTTAGATTGTTATTGAGAGCTCTGATGCCATTGTGAAGTATTATTTACTTAAAAAACTTAAAAGCTGTTCAAGATGGCCGGTCAAAAGAAGAGATAAATATTCATTCTAAACAAACTTGTGGAACAAAACGTGTTCGACTAGGACATCCAGTTTCAGAGTTAGATGGCAAAGGCCAAGCTAGACATTAATGCTTCAAAGTGGGAACCAATTTGATGGTCACGAAACAACACAAGCACCTCGATCAAGCCTAAACAAAATTTTTTGAATGAATGGTGTCCTGTGAGGACACCCAATTTGGGAGTCAGAAGAAAATTGCCAAACCAGATAATTGGTCTTCAAAATGGGGTATGGCGTGCCAAGTCACGAAATACAAGTCCGAAGATGCGAATTCAGTCCGAGAATCTCGCTTGAGTCAAAACAAACCTGGGGGAACGAAGGGTGTTATGATAGGACATTTGGTTTGGGGTTAGAATAAAAAAGTTGCATAAATACTTAGGCTTCAAATCGAAAAAATGGTGTTGGCCCTATTGGGGTACAAAATCATCAAATATCTATCAGATGGGCTAGAAACCCACCCTAGCACATAACTCGAGCCTAAACAAACTTCGATGAACAAATGTGACAAGCCACCTGGTTGGGAGTTACATGGAAAGAAATCAGACAGTAAGCTTAATAATAATCGGGTCAGGAGAGAAACGGTGAAATAGCCATCTGACAGCCCCGCAATCAACTCGAACATCTCGCTCGAGCCTAAACAGACATGTGGGAACAAATATTGTATTGATAGGACAACCAATTCAGGAGTTATAATATATTGGATTGATGACAGGAAATGAGTATAAATTAAAATAATGAATGTGGTTTTTTTTTTAGCGACCATCATATTTTGTCGTGGATAATTGCCCCAACTAGTGTGGTCTCAGCGAATTTTTTATCGCAGATAGTGAATGCTATTCTTTTGCAATGAATTTTTTATTTTTTTGTTGTGTCAAAAAATTGTCGTAGGGAAAATTTTCTTAGCAACGACAAGCATATCAACTATGCAGAGTTTTAACTTTTGGTGAACTATAGGTGGTTGATAATAACTGTATCTTTGAAGATTAGTCTTTTCCTAGTGGATGAGTCTCCTCACTTGTGACCTGGAGGTTGGCGGTTCAAGTCTCCTCCCCAGCATTCTCCCTCCCTTGTAATAGTGAATGACCAAAAAAAAAGAAGATGATTGATGATAACTACTATAGGTGGTTGATGATAACTATATCTTTGAAGATTAGTGTTTTCCTAGTGGATGAGTACTTGTGACCTGGAGGTTGGCAGTTCAAGTCTCCTCCCCAGCATTCTCCCTCCCTTGTAATTGTGAATGACCGAAAAAAAGAAGATGAGTTTCAATTTCATCGCCCAAAACCTTCGCAGACAAAGTTCTTGCAACAGGTTGGCGGTGAAAGTCATGTTGTTGCCTAAGGTTTTTAGCAACGAAATACAGACCTTTGGCCATGAATTAAGTCGTTGCAGAACAACTTCTTTGTTGTAGATACTAAGGAAATATTTTTGGCATATTTGATCAAATATCTTTTTGAAAGAGTTTACTAAACGTTATGCAGTTCTTTTTGGAGCCCTGTGCAGATGTTGGGTTTTTAGGTCCACATTAACGACCCATATCCAGATAGACCCTTTGAATTTGGCATTGTTCAAGCCTGCATTACAATATGGATATAGGGAACCATATAATCAGCCAAAATCAATAAAGTAAGAGGTATTATTTGGCACAAGGAAAGAGAGAGGGTTGCCGAGCCCATACTTATGGCCCCAGGGATGATCCTTTAGCCACCCCTCCTGCAATAAACATATCACACAATTCACCTTTGTCACAGATAGCATCTTCAGTTTTCCACGAGTAACTAATCTGCTGTAAGCTGTATTTAGAAAGGGAGTTCAGTCTACAAGGATCCCGTCACTGTGGATCTATAGAGAATCAGATGTACAAAATCTTGCCCTATATGTAGAGAAACAGTTTTTATAACTCGAAACTCATGGAGCTATAAACTGTATCTCTAACCTTGAAATCCAACCTCAACACAGGCACTCACCCTGCCTGCCCTTGAAATCTTGGCTTGCATCATCTCCCACTGAGTGTTGTTATTGGCGTGAGTTGGCCTCCGGTGAGAGTGTTACCCAAGTGTTCATTAGATGATGGAGTGTTAGCTGGCCACATGAAAGCAGGTTTCTCACTGGGGATGGGTGGTGGAGCTACTTCCCCTGTAAGAACCTGCAAAGCAATTCTCATAGAGGGCCTTTGATATGGGTTCGGATGGCAACAGGCCAATCCCAACTTGAGCACGTACACTGCTTGCTCCTCCTCGAAATCCCCTTTCAATCTGACATCCATGGCTTTAGTTATCTTCTCCATCTTGTAAAGTTCCCATACCCAATCAATAATTCTGTGATTTCCAGGCTTTCTTCCACAGGCAATTTCAAGTAGGAGAACACCGAACGCATAAACATCTGTTTCAACAGTTGCCCTGCCTACATGAAAACTCTCTGGAGCCATATATCCTGGTGTTCCTGCAATCACTTTTGTTGAGTGATGGGTTTCTCCACCCACTCGTATGGTTCTAGCCAGTCCAAAATCTCCCAATCTGGCGTTGAAATCAGAATCCAGCATTATGTTGCTGGCTTTTATGTCCCGGTGAAGAACCCTTTTCTCGCACCCATTGTGAAGATAATCCAGTACTCTTGCCACCCCACAAATGATTGTATGCCTTCTTTCCCAACTCAGAGTTGAACTTGAACCTCCCTTGTCTTGAAAATTGCTGGAAAATATATGCTTATCCAGGCTCCCATTTGGCATGAACTCATATACTAAAAGGAGTTCATTGCTTTCATAGCACCATCCAAATAATTTGACGAGGTTTTTGTGATGGAGGTTGCCAATTGTTGTGATTTCAGCTATGAAATCTGGCTTCCCTTGACTTGAATCCTTTGAGAATCTTTTCACAGCTACCTCTTTATTGCTTAATAATCCTTTGTAAACTATACCACATCCTCCTTTTCCGAGCATGTTCTTGGGGTCAAAATTGCCAGTGGCGCATTTAAGTTCCTTCAACCGGAATTTCTGTGGAGCAGTTGCTGAATCCTTAATCTGTAGCACTACCATTGGATCCTCTTGAATTTGCTTCTCATTGGTTTTCCTTCTCCAACACAGGAAAAAGAAAAAGCCGATTATTAAGGCAATCGGAATTACTATTGCCAAGTACATCCACAATAGGTGAACTGGATCATCTATGTCTGTGCTGGTAAAATTCCAAGCCTTTATGCAGTTGACCTCGGTGTATTGCCCAGTGGAAGCTGAAAATCCCAGGTAAACATATTCTGAAAGATATTTAGAGAGATCAAGAGGCATCGAAATTATCGGACTGCTGTTGTTGTTTCCAGTAGCATTACTCATGAATACAAATATGGCCAAGGTCTTTAGCTCCCCATCATACTGAACTCTCGCTGTGATATCTTGACCACTTGGAAGGATAACTCCATGGCCATATAATGAAGCTTGCTCGATGGAGTAAATGCTATTTACATCGACACCAACATGATTGTCGTCAATATCTTCCGAGAAGCTTTTTCTGGTGTCAAACTCAATCGCCACTACGTTGCTTTGTGTAGATCCATTTGTGCTTGAATTCACAACACCAAGCCATTGCCCTTGGCTGTTTTCTGGGATATAACCAATTTCCTTTGTCAAGATGAAAGCCAGTCCTTCACCCCATGGATGGGTCTGTGGAATAAGACTCAGAACAAAGGTGGAGTTGAACGATGCTGTGATGTTTTTCCGTCTGCTCCATAGCTTGAACGGATGTCGATACCAGATTCTTCCCGACAAGTTTGAGATCAAATCTCCGGCAAGGCTTGTCACTTGAATGGCGTTGAAAGATATGTATGCATTTTCTGTAGTGATGAAATCTACCTCGTTCTGCTTGGTGAAGTTTGGATAGCCGAAATTTAAGCACTCTACTTGAATAACAGAACTACCCAAGAGAGTTGCTAACAGAAGAAGATGAACAATTTGAACACAGTACAAGCACTTGCTGGAATAACACGCACCAAAACAGTGCTGCGTCATTATCATGAGGGTGGGCGAAGTTTTATGAAACTCTCAAGCAACAGATTTTCGTCTAAGTTGCAGAAGGAATTAGGTAGCTCCTTTGTGGAAAAAGATATACAATTTAGATCATAGCAATGAGTAGTATATACTTGGGAAATTTCATTGCTCCATCCTCTTTTTTTAATTTTGTGTTTTTAGCTAGTCATTTCCTTGTATACTTAGATTAGTGCAGGACTGCTGACATTTGTATTACGAGCCTCCACGTCACGATCACAAACCAACCAACCTTGAACACGAATCACTGGCAATAGTACCTCCACTTCAACAAGAGATGCTACTAGAGTCTCCAAACTTGCACAATCCAAATTCTAGGGCACTCAGAGATATTAACCATAGTAAGACTGCACACAAAAGGGAAAGGAACAAATTTTTCTTTGCTACAGGGTATCCAGGTTTGCGCTGACCTTAACCTTTGTGAGAGCACCACTGATGGTGGATCGAGTCAAACCTGATCCAATTTCCCTTAGTTGACCTTCATCACATTTCTGACTTTCAGCGGAGAGACTGATTATTTAATCACACCCTACCAATTCAACGTCGATTTCTGCCTTCTTTTGCCTTCTTTTTCTGGACTGATGAGTACATTCAACAACTAATATATTTTGTTTTTGAAAGTGCAGTGATCAGTCCTGATTATATTTGAAGACTTTGTTTTAACCAATAATATTTTCAGTTTCGACTATACAATAGCTGGTCCATTGAACTGAAGACAACTGTGATTGTGCTTGAATTTTATATTGACAGTACCACCTCGGGCAATCTTTCTTTATACACATTCAACTTGAGAGATTGGAACAAACTATTGTGTCATCAGCCTTATTATTAATGGGTTTTGTTCAAGCTCTAAAATCTCTGTATAAAAGAGACTGAAATAGAAGGAAACTAGTGTGATGTTTCTTCAACATTCCATTGATTTTAGTTTACTGGGTTCTTGGCTTGGTCTGTCTCACTTTCTTCTCTTAAGCAGTTAGGAATTTGCTTTTCCTTCTTCCAGGAGAATCATGTACTCATTCTACATGTCTGGGGACTGAAAATTGGGGACATTCGTCTCTTAAGCGGTGAACAAATTTATGCTTTTTGGCACGGGGGAGGTGGTTTGAGCTTGTAAAAGGGATATGGTAGTTTAGGAGTGAATGGATAATATGCTCTTTAATATAGCATAATGGACAAATATGATTCATGTAACCGACCTGAAATACTTAAAATAAAAACTTGTTGAGTTAACTTGGGAGGGGAGTTTGAGCCCATGCCAATGCCATGAGAGGTATTTTTGTTTACCATTGTTGTAGGTATTTTTATTATTATTGTGGTATAGAAAAAAAGTAATAAAAATAGTTATTAAAATAATAACAGAAATGGTAAATTATTGACAAAAGTAGTAATTTCTTTTGTACCAAAGAAAAATAAAAATAGTAACCACTATATTGGTAAAAATACTCATAAAAATGATAAAAAAAATCCTCAAAAGTGGTAAATTTTATTGTTGTAAAAATACTAATAAAAATTGTAAAAAATCACAAAAATAGTAAGTTTTAGATATATGGTACCAAATTTGGTTTATTTAGTAATGGTGACACTGTGTTATCTTATGTCACTATTTAATCAAAAAATTACATGTAGAGTAAATTTTACTATTTTTATAGGTTTTTTAGGCGTGGGTATAATTTTTTAGATTTTATTTAGGCAAAAGTGTATGGATAATTTGTTTTATTAAGTATAATTTTTATAAAAATTTTTGTATTTAGGTACAAAATTCAAATGAATTAAAATCTTTTTTGCTTAAACACCCTTCTTTAATTTATGCAACCATTATTGACAGTTATTTGAGGAAACAACACCTCCTTAATTTATTCAGTCATCATTGATAGTTATTTGAGGAAATATATATGTAAAGATTACATATTTGTTATATTTAATTTTTTAATTTTGAATGAGCAGTTTTGTATGCAGTAAAAGTTTGTGTTCAACTGATTTCTGCAATAAGACAAAAAAATTATGCAGTAACACAAAAAATCTTCAAACGTCTCTTCAGTTTGTTAACAAAAAAAAAGCTGATCTTTGCGGTAAGAGTCTTCTTCAACATTTATGTTCATCTGATCTCGACAGTAAGAGTCTTATTCAACGGTCGATTTACTTCTCCGGTGGTAGATTTATTCGAAAAAAAGAACTGCAAATACCAATCACCGTCTGTAATTGTTTTTTAATGGGTGTAACTATTTTTTTGGTATAGACATTAATGAATATTTTTGAAAAAAGGTTACTATGTTACTGTTTGTTAATTAATTAATTTTATCCTCATGTTATGAAGCAAAGATTGTTTTATGTTGTTCATTATTTGGATGAACGGAAAAAAAAAATTGCTTTTTTTTTTCATGGGTGTAACTATTTTTTAATCAGAATTACGTTTTAGTGTAACTATTCTTGTATTCAATTTTTTAGCAAATATCTATTTTGAGAGATCCTGTATATTGTAATTGTTTTTTGTTTTATCTTTTTCTTCTAATTTGTGATCACAAATAATTACTTAAAACAGTTACGTAACTATTTTTAATCAACAAATTAAACAACACAGATTATGAAAAATAAAATTAATGAATGACAAAAAAATAAAAATGAATGTTACCTGTAATTTTCGATAAAGAAGTTGTCGAAGATGATTCACAGTTACTTGACCGTAGAACACGATGAGCAGTAATACATATTCTTCTTTTTTTTGAATGATGAACAATAATTTTGATTCCTCTTTTTTTTTTTAACGATGAACAATAATTCGTCTTCCTCTTTTTTTTGGACGATGAATAGTAACTTGGGTTCCTTTTTTTTTTGGACGTTGAACAGTTACAGTTTTGGCATTCCAATCCCTCTACCGAATTGGCATTCCAATTCCTCTACCGAAGAAGATGAGTTTTGATAATTAAATTCCCTATTTTATCTCTTACTTGATTTTAGCCAAAAAAAAAAAAACGGATGGAAGATGATTAGTTGCTATATATTTACTATGTTACTGATGACAATAGTGGTATTTTAAAAAAATATGTATTTTACCCAAAATAAGTTTTTAAGTTGTACTTTTATCTAAATAAGTCTAAAAAATTATATCGAATTCTAAATTGTCCATTTTTATAATTGAATGATGATACTATAAAATGATAATAACGTGACGTCCATGTCATCGTTATATGGAATATTTTGTGGCGGTGCTGCCGAGTATTTTGTTTTTTCCCGAAATACCTTAAGTTCGACGATTGACCGGTTCTACCGGTGAAGAAACGACTTGTTCAGTTGCAAAGAACAAAAGTGTAACAGCCACGTGTCAGACGACATTCACCGCACGTGATGGCCACACCGACATGATCTCCAGACAGTTGGAGTCGGAATGCTGAGCTGGAAATGCCCACTTTTTCATAATTAACTGCACCAAACTCCACTAAATTGGGGTTTTATTTTACTTTTTTTTTTTTTTTTATTGATAGAAGTGCATCTAAAGTTGGAAAATTACTCTTTTTGTGGGCCCTTCTTACAAGACAAATTCCCCCCCCCCCCCCCCCCCCCCCCAAAAAAAAAAAAAAAAAAGAAAAATTGGTTGAAGTCATGTGAACATATACAAGAGGAAATATATAAATTTTTAAAATTGGGTAAATTATGTTCAAAATTTGAATATATATATGTTCATAAAAAAAAATGAATCGCCACTTAGGCTTTTGATTAATGGGGAGGATTGAGACACTAGTATACCCGGTTGCCGTCATGGGCTGGATCGGGGCCAACCAATGGGCCTCCATGGGCCCATTTAGGTCAACCCATGGGCTTTGAAGTTTTTGACAAGTTCAGCATTCAATGGAGTGAAATCCATTTTAATACACATTTTCTTCATCTTTTTCTCAAGTAATGCTACACAACCCAAATGGAATCAAAAAAAGTTACAACTCAAATACATATCATTATTTAGAAGTTGATGGGGGCATACTCATCCAAGATACAATATATATTTGAGTAGTAATTTTTTAAGTTTCATTTAAGTTGTGTAACATTTTTTTTCTCTCTCTTCAAATTAGGTTTTCATAGCATTGCTCCATAGATAACCACAATTGTATCCTTTCTCAACAT